GATCGTCTGATCACTCCAGTGTTTGTAAATAACTGGGGACACATAGTACTATGTGCCCCCAGTTATGAATGAACAGGCTGTGATTTACACATCCCGTTCATTCAAGATTTCACCAATGGGGAGAAGCACTCACTACAGAATCTCCTCCCCATTCCGAAACAGCTGATGGTAAATATTGGAATGGGAAGCCTCTGTACTGAGTGCTTTCCATCCATTGAGTGCTGAGGCTTCTGAAAAAGAAATTGAGGATTTGGTGTCCTCAATTTCTTTTCTATTTTACAAGGGAAATGTCAGGGGTCTGTTTGAGAAAAAATATAAAAAATTATATTAAAAAAGTGAAAACTGCCCCCCCCTCCCCTCACACACACACATATTATTAGACAAGTGCGAAGACTAAAAATTAATTTCAGATGAAATGAACGAAAACTAAAAAAGTTTTCATTTGTTTCATCAAACAAAACACATTTATATGCTATTTTGGATTCAGCCATTGGCGTGTTCTGGAGGCAGGGCGCATGACGTCATATAACACCGCACGTGTTGGGCGCCGCCATCTTGGTGTATATCTAGGTATACACCAAGATGGTGGGGCCAATATCGGCGTGTGAGGTCACCTGACGCCACGCATGCATGGCGTCATGTAACGTCATGCTCCCTGCCTCCAAGATGGTGGCACGCATTCAGAGAACACGCTGGTGGCCAACATGGCCGCCGCACATTCTCAAACAAATTATTATGTGTCTGAATACATTTCTCGTATATTCGGACATATAGTAATTCATTCATTTACATGTAGCCCGGGGTCTGTGTTCTGTTTTTTATTTTTACTTTTCTAGATGCACTTACTTGAAAAAAGGGGTCTGCATGACATCCTGACACTTTATTTTTATAGACTCTATTGTAGTTTGACATTTATTGTTTACCTTCTGTTTTTTAATACCTTTGAATAAAAGTTTTATTTTTATCATACTTTTTAATATGTTTCTTTGCGGCTTAACAAAATAGGAGTCTTTAAATGGTGCATATATTGGGGGAAATGGGTGTGGTTACGGGGGCATGGCCACTAAAGGGTGTGACCACTGAGTGGCGCTGTAAAGCTTTCTCGCACAGGGCGCCTAAAGGCCTAAGGCCGGCCCTGAGAGTCAGCCAGAGAGCTGCCAAAGGGAAACCATTCCTTCTACATGAAGTCTTTACTGGGAATAATCACCTCAATACAAGATCAAGTGAGATCTCCTCACGGTTGGGTCACCAGGACAGGAAGTGTTTCAACATCTCTCTAAAAGCCCCAGATGACAAAACAGAGGTTCTTACCCTTCCTCAATCCATCCAAAACAAAATAATTCATTTTGGCTGAAGTTGGGTTTTAGGTAAATGTACTGAGAAAAGTTGAGACTAGCAAGCTAGGATAATGATGTCACAAATAAACTGAGAAGTGTAACTTTGGAATGCTTCTGAATTTTTTTTTTTTGACAAATAATATAACTTTTTAGTTTCTTAACTCTTTTATTGTGAACTGGGTGTGTACATGTCTCTTTTGGAACATTAGATTTATTTAATTGTGTTGTTGAGTGACAGTCATTCCTAATATTTTGTTTACTGAAGATTGGATTACTCTACTATTTACAGCATATACTCATGCTGCTGGTCTATTAAAATTGTGTCCTGTCCAAAAAAGTACCATGCGTAATATAAGCAATATTTCATTTTCTGTGGTTGCTCTCTTGTCTTATGTGACATGACATAGTTCTTTTCATTTGACTTGTCAGATCAACACAGGTCAGGCAGATGGGACTCCGGGTCTTGATTTGAATGTTGCTGAAGCCTGGGAGTTGGGATACACAGGGAAAGGAGTTACCATAGCAATTATGGATGATGGTAAGCACTTATAGCTGAATACATTCAAAGATGAATTCCAAAAAAACACCAAAGTGGCTTTTCATATTTTGTTTCCTACTTCTGTTATCTATTTATTAGTTATCCCACTGAAGAAATGTTTACATCCACATACATTTGTATGTCATACATACATTTACCTTTAGCATAGATGTTTCTACAGTGTGAATTACTGATCATATATAAATAAATAGCTTTGTCAAAAAAATAATATAGCAAGCAAATTTTAGCTTTTTTAATTCTGCACCATGTACTCTAGTAGGAACACATGCATGCTGACCATTTGTGATGTCACAGTGGGCTGCTTAAAATGCAAAATTAGTTGTATGCCCTCATTTCCATGAAAGCTGTTTTCCTGTGCTTCTCAGCTTTACCTAATGGACATAATGAGACATTACATTACATTCAACCAGAAAAGAAAATATACTAATAATGTTTGTTTTTGTCTCTACTTACACGGAATGAATATTCGCAGAGACTTGCAGGATGAATGATTTTGTGAATTGTTTATAAATAGACCCCTAATTGTATGTTTATTACAGAATTTCACAACGAAAAGCCAACATGTTTTGTAGATTGTATCCACTTCTTCAGGACCAACATGAAAGTTATTCGTAGTATTCAGTAGTCATTACAAAGAACTAAAGTAAATAACAATATATCAAACTTATCTCTACCAAACTGAATTATGACCTGTATGCATGACATGCCATAAAAATTACTAATTAGTTATATCCAATGATGACAATGTTTAGGTTATAATAAACTGATACTCATAGGTTGCACCATTGGAAAACAAATCATTTTGATTGTTCTCCAAATAAAACAAATGGTAATAGTGTTCAAGCAAATGAGCCCATTCCAGCTAGAGGAATGGCTCTACTGAGAGTAAAAGGGCGGCCAAGTTAGGGGAGAACGCACCTCCAAAATAGAGGATGGGTCCTCAGAATTTTCCCACCTCATCATGCTTACCCATTTGGAATATCATCCACCTCACCACCATAGGTGGGAGCCCATCCGGCAAAGCCCCAGCACAAAAAAATCCTGTTTGACCCATTTACACATGTCCCCTAAATCCTCTACCACCACCCATGGAGTAATTACACTCCCTCCTAAAACTCACCAATGACTTACTAACAGCTAAAAACAATGGCCACTACTCCTTACTCTTGCTATTAGACCTTTCTGCTGCTTTTGACACTGTTGACCACCTGCTCCTCCTCAAAAAAACTCCACTCACTTGGCCTACAAGACTTTGCTCTCTCATGGTTCTCCTCCTACCTATCTAATTGCTCCTTTAGTGTCACCTACAAATCTAACTCCTCCCCTCCTCTTCCCCTTTCTGTAGGGGTCCCCCAAGGCTCTGTCCTTGGACCCCTTCTCTTCTCTATCTACACCTCCTCCCTTGGTCAGTTAATAATCTCACATGGCTTCCAATACCATCTCTATGCCGATGACACTCAAATCTATCTTTATACTCCACAACTCAACCCCTCTGTGTCCTCTCGTGTCACTAATCTACTATCTGACATATCCGTCTGGATGTCGCAACAAATAAGCCCCTTCCTCACCAAAGAAACTGCAAAATTACTCATCCACTCGCTTTTTATATCTCGTCTTGACTATTGCAACTCCCTCCTCATTGGCCTTCCACTACACAGGATATCCCCCCTTCAGTCTATCATGAATGCAGCGGCTAGACTCATTCATCTAACCAACCGCTCAGTGTCTGCAACCCCACTCTGTCAATCCCTACACTGGCTTCCAATAGCCCAAAGGATAAAAGTCAAAATACTGACAACCACTTACAAAGCCATCTACAACTCTGCCCCCGGCTACATCTCAAACCTGGTCTCAAAGTATCTCCCTAACTGTCCCCTCCGCTACTCAAAAGACCTTCTGCTTTCCAGCTCCCTTGTCAACTCCTCCCATGCTCGCCTCTAGGACTTCACTAGAACCTCTCCCATCCTATGGAACTCTCTCCCTCCCTTTTAGATTGTAAGCCTTCACGGGAAGGGCCCTCCGTACCATCTTGTCTTGAATTGTAATGTGATTGTAATGTCTTCCTTATATTGTAAAGTGCTGCACAAACTGTTGGTGCTATATAAATCCTGTATAATAATAATAATAATAATAATTGAGGGGAATTTATCAAAACTGGAGCAGACAAAATCTGGAGCAGATGTGCATGGCAACCAATCAGCATCTATCTTTCATTTTCAAACCTTAACTGAAGAAACTGAAGAGAGAAGCTGATTAGTTGTCATAGGCAACTGCTCCAGATTCTTCTGCTCCAGTTTTGATAAATTCCCCCCATTATATCTGGTAGGAAGGACCAGTTTGTGCATGTGTGATGTTGTCCATCCCTCAACTGCATGCGTTTAAACAAACATCACAGGAGTTAGAGACAGAGCAAAAACATTGGGGAGGGAACAGCCCACCTACTGGAATCTGAGAAAAAAACAAAACAAAACAAAAAACCCACTAAGACCAGCAATCAAAATAAACAAAACGGAAAAATTGGTATTTTTTTATTTTTATGTCTTAGTGGCTTTTATCTTAGTTTGTTTATTTCTCCTAATTCCCAGTATGTAGGGTGTCGATTGTGGTATCTGGAATCTGTGGCCCCTCTCTGTCTATAAGTCCCATGGTGTACAATTTGAGCATGTGCAGAAGAGGGGAGGAGGACGTCAGTGGCCCAGTGACATCACAACTTTAATGCATGTAGAATCAGATGCCCATTTTTGGTGGGAAGGGATTCTGCCATCTAGAAGATATGATATCTCCAGTGGGCAGCGTCTGGGGATTAATGGGTCGAAAGTGAATGAACCTAACAAGACTCTTAGTGCTGGGGCTTTGCTGGATGGGTTTCCAACCTATGGCTGTGAAGTGGATGATTTTCAGCATGGGTAGGGATTAAATTTTGGAGCTGTGTTCTCTCCTAATTTCACTGTCTTTTTCATCCCTGCAGTCACCCCTTTAGCTGGGATGGGCTCATGTACTTGTGAGCATGGAGAACACTATTCCCACTTGCTTAATTTGAAGGACAGCCACTATTATTATTTTTCCACTGGTGCAACCTCTGTGCATTTCTTTATTATAACTCCTAAACATTATCATAATTATAACTAACTAGTATTAGTTTGTGGCCATTTATTGAGTGATGCATACAGATCATCATTTCATTTGGTGGCAATAAGCTTGTTTTATTGTAATAGTTACCTTAGACCTTTGTAAAGAGGGCTAAATACGATGAATACCTTTCATGTTGGTCCTGAAGAAGTGGATACAACCTATGAAACACATTCATTTTTCTCTGTGAAATGGTATAATAAACATACAATAAAGAGTATGTACTTAAAGTGACACTAAACTCAGGAGTTAAATCTTAAAAATGCATTCAAGTACCTTAATTAACTATTAACAAAAATGTATCTTATTTGTGTATCACTCAGCTGTAGATCCTCAAACCATTTCTGAATTCATGCTGACGCTGTCCTTCCTTCTGGAGGGTGGCTACTTTTGTTCCCCATGATCCCTGTGTGTTGTAACTACTGTGATAGACTGCAATCTCACTACAAATGAATAAACTAAACATGAGATTGTAGTCCATCACGGGAGTGAGCTTAGAGCGCTGGATACTTTACAACACACACATGGACCATGGGGAACAAAAGTAGCCACCCTCCAGAAGGAAGGACAGCGTCAGCATGAATTCAGAAATGGTTTGAGGATCTACAGCTGAATGATACACAAATAGCATACATTTTTGACGCTACTGCTCGCGGTATACTGAGACGCTGCAGCTAAAGCGGATCCCGGCAATTATGTCTGGATCCGCCCAGCTGCGTGAGTGACAGCTGGCTCTGCCTATCTAGAGGCAGAGCCAGCTGTACCCACCCCCTCCCCCGTCCGTTCCGCCAGTCAGCGCTGTCGGCAGAGAGCTGTGACAGGATCGAGAGGTGAGCGAATGCCGTTATGCGTTCGCTCACTTCCCGATCTACTGAGCCAACCTGTGACAGTCTCATTGTCACAGGTCGGCTAGAACTATGAGGTGAGTGAAAAGCACTCACCTCATTGTTCTCCTTTAATAGTTAAGGTACTTAAATGCATTTTTAAGATTTAACTCCTGAGTTTATGACTATATGTGTCTGATTTGTTCCTAGGTTTGCTTCTACTCCATTGAGGATTTTTGTATGTATATTTATGGAAGTTTACCAAATGTAATAATAAATCAATTTGTTGTATCTTTACAACATTTTTTGTGATTATATTCTTAAGTGCCGCAGTTTAAAATCCCTTTTTCTTTTCTATATGTCTTCTGGTATACTAGCAATACAAGAAGAATATGTGATTATATATTGTCTATTATATTGTAAAAATGTAATTTAATGTAAGAAGAGGTAACACTTTATTCACTAATAGCATAAGAACAGAGTTCATAGAAGTCACAAGTCAAGAGGGTTCTTGCTGCAGCTGTCCTCTCCTTCTCACTACTGCCAGCATCTTGTGACTACTCCTTACTCTGCAATGTAATTATCAAATGAGTACAAATGTTTTTCACCTGGCTGCAGATGTGATAGTCTCAACTACAGAACATACCACCAGAGATATAATTAGAGATTTTTACAGCTGAAGGGTAGGGGAGGAGCAGAGGCTCTGTAGTGGCAATTATCCAGTGGAAAAAGGGAATATGGGCAGTGTACTATAGAGCAGGGAGGCAGTTGATGAATTTGAGCAAGCTATGTATTATGTAAACACCTGTTAACAGAACCTTTAGGACCCCATAAAACACACCCTCTTTTAAGTTTTATGCCACTTCTTTTGAATTATATCCACAAAAACAGTCTGAAACATTTATTAAATCTGATTCCCATATCTGCTAAACTGCAATTAGGTTCCATTCAACAACAACAACAACAACGTGCCTTGGTCAGATTGCTATTTAAAGGTGTGTGCATTATTGTTAAGTCTGTCAGTTGGTGTATTAAATGGATTCACTCACCCAAATCAATTAATTAAAACAATGAAAACTTTATATGTGATCAGGCACATCTATAAATGTCAATTGTGCCTAAGAAATACCATGAAAATATATATTTTGTCTTAAATATTTCCTGAAAAATAGTACTTCCTGGTAGGTGAGTGTGCCCAGGCGTTCCTGTGCCAACAGCCTCATGGCTGTATATCTGTAGTGTGGTTTCTCAGGCACTGCTGCCTCTGACTGCTGACTGACTGATCTCAGGAAATTAGGAGTGAGATTTGGTGATGTCACTACCATAGCTTTCAACTTTCCCTTATTTGGAGGGATTGCCCTTCTTTTGGTACCAAATTAATCTGCCCCTTATTCTTCCTTAGTTCCTCCTCCTTTTGGTCTGATGTATAAACCGTATAGACCCATGTAAACAAGAAGTAGAGAAAGGTTTTAACCCTGCTCTACTCTGTCTAAAACTTAAAGAAAATGTGTTGGCTATACATACGCTTTAACATTTTATTAGCTTACTTTGCAGTAGAGATTAACTTGATATTCACTACCTGATACTGGTTCATAATTTGTGTCTGTGTCCTACCAGGGAGGAGGCATCTCTTTGGGTCACGTGATGGGTGCATCACTGCTCTGTTACAAAATGTTTGCATTGTGTCTGCTGTCCCTTTTCCGGCCAGTGCATCCCAGGTTGCTAAGCGTAGGGTGGGAAAATATTTAAGGGCCACATGCATCTCCCCACCCAGCTCTTAGCAACCTGTGACGCTCTGGCCGACATCCCACCTGGCCCCTGGCACCACCAGCACCCTACCCCCACCCCCCACCCCCCCTCCATCATCCTCAGGCAGTAAGAAGGCCAGGGACAATCCTGCCTCCTCTGCAGTAACATTCGACATAACTGATTAAAATCTTAACAGTGCACTATGGGAACTGAGTTCTTTTGGATGGTTCAGACCTACTCAGCAGTGGCTTGCTAAGAAGGAAGAACGGTCCCACGCAGGAGAAACAATTCCATGCAGTGTAGGCAGTTCTAGAGCTATCAGTTTCACTTCCACAAGCACCTTACACAAAGCAATCACTTTCTATATCGGTCTCGTCATAAGTCATGCCAACTTCTTGTCATTTGTAGCCCAATAGCTGTCAGCGTTCTTCACACATTGCACTTATATGCTGCCATGCGAAAACCAGTCAACTTAATCTTCATAAGTCTTGTCCCTTTGTCCTCCCATTTATCTTCCAAATGTGTATGTATTTCTTCAATACTTGTTTAATAATTGCCTTTTGATTTCAGGAATAGATTACCTTCACCCGGATCTTGCCTCAAATTATGTGAGTATAATATAGTTCATTCGAACATTTAAAGGCTTTTGTAGGTGACACATTTATTCGTTATCAAAGAGACCACGGTATCCATGTTAGGAGTTGAACTTCTGATCTTTTGTTAAACGCATTTATAAATTGTTGTAATTATAATAGTATCTACGGCATATAAATGAGATGGGGGAAGGGATCTCACCTAGCAACAGTTCTGTTTGGAATAGATCACACATCAGAAATGTATGCAGTGTTGTAGTAAGCAGTACAGCAGAATGTACAGCATACCATATATTCCTAAAATAAGAAAAAACAGAATTACAAGGCCCGTTCATAACAATGGCTTTGTCTACAGTTTGTGTTAGTGCATACAATGAGTTTATTAGTTATTGTCAACAGGTCTGTTTTCAGTGTGTGCCTATATATACTGGTCTAAAATGGTTTTTAAAATGAATGCATGCCCTATGCACAAAAACACACACATACAAAGCACGTTAAAACATGTAAGAATCTATGGTTGGGCAAAGTTACAAAAATATTAGGTGTGTTAAAAAAAATGGTAAATGTTTAAATTAAAAAAAATAATTACAGTAAAAGACACATCCCCCTCAAAATACTTCCCCTCACTTCGAACACACTTATCCCATAGTTTTTGCCACTTTCTGAAGCAGTTCTGGAAGTCCTCTTTCGTGACTGTCTTTAGTTGCGCTGTTGTGGTTGCCTCGATGTCCAGAATCAATTCAAAACGTTTATCTTTTATGGTCATTTTGACTTCGGGGGAAGAGCCAGAAGATGCACAGTGCCAGATCCGGTGAATAAGGTAGATGAGGACACACCGTAATGTTTCTATTTGACCGAAATTGTGGTACCAGAAGCGATGTATGACATGGAGCGTTGTCATGATGGAGAATTAAACAATTTGCCCATTTCTCAGGCCGTTTTCTACACACATTGTCAATGTTCAGATCCTCATAAACTTCCCTAATAGTCAAATCATTTCTCTTACTTTTTCAACATTCTGTTTTTTGAGTTTTTGATGTTGAAAGACGTCCCGATCTCTCCTCATCTTCAACCGATTCACAACCATTACGAAATCGCTTGAACCACTTGTAAGCAGTCTTCATGGTCACTGCAGCATCACCATAAACTAATTTTAACATTTTATGTGTTTCTTTAGCACTTTTTTGCAGTTTGAAACATAGTTTCATGTTAATGCGTTGTTCATGGTCCATGATTTATGGCGCACTTAAAAACACACTTTCTTTCAACCGTAGCTCACAACCGACTGACTGCACTTGTCACACACTGTTACTAAGGTTCTCGTATTGAAGATCCCTGTCTTTCTTTTGGATGGCACTCAGCAGCAGCATTCACTGTATTTTTTTTGATCACACCACCTATATGTAGCACATTTATGCAGTACATGCACATTTCCCTATGCTTTGTCACTTGAAAAATGCTGCAAGCACAGAAAAAATTGCCATAAATTCAGCAAGCTTCTGACTTCCTGTTTGAACATACAGCTTTGCCTCTATTGCACTGAAATCCCAAGCAGTATTGGAGCCATGTCTGAGTTCTCCCCTGCTGCAGTACAGAACACCACCCCTTTATGCTATGGAGATGAGAAGGTGTTTTGTAGACCAAATCTCTAGGACATGTTGCTGGCAGAATTTCTGGGTGAGAATAAAGGGTAAAAAAAGCCTAAAAAAAAAAAAACATCTAAGGACTGGAAAGCTCTGATATATTAAATTTTTGTTTGGGGGTTTAGATATGCTTTAAAGTGATATTAAAGTCAAAATGTTTGTAAGCTTTTTCAAATTCTGATTAAATCACTTTGGATGCTGGATGCTGCTTCTTGACCAAAATCGGAAGGTAATCATATATTAACGAAGGGTCCATTGACTTGCAATTGCACCCTTCGATTTCCTTCCGATCCATTGCATTGTAATCTGTTTTTCAATGGATGCTAATGCAAGGGCACAGAAAATGCCCTCCCCCATGTTGAGGTCATGTGGTCTGGTATGGTATGGTATGGGGGCCCATGCCCATCCCCACCTTTCATGCTCTGCCAGGTAAGGAATTTTAGGGGGGAGCCCACGCATTTTTTTTGGCATGGGGTCCCCCCTAAAATTCCTAACAGACCTAGAGAGTCTAGTATGAATTGGGGGGAGCTTTTTTTTATTTTCACATTTAAAAACAACCTAACTCCATCCAAATAGATTCGGATCAATCCACAAATGAAAACTTCAGATCGATCCAAATTCCTAACAGGTACAAATTTCAGAAGATTTAAAAATAAATCAGAATAGAAGTCTAGTCTGTACTGTGCTGACAGATTTCATTATCAGTTGTAAACTAGATTTAAACACTGTCTGTCCTAACAAAGGGTTAAAGCTCTAGAAGCATTGTATGTTAATGAGAGGGAGCTCAGTTTGTCGTCCCTAGTCTTTCTATGGAGACATCTAGAGTTTCCTGTCACTTTAAAATTGAGAGAGAAGCTTGCAATAGTCAGCTACACAGAGACATCTAAAAGGTAAGAATTTTTTTTCAAAGAAATGTTTTTAGGTGTGGTGTGTGAGTGGGAACACATAACAAACATTTAGTGGGATTTCTCAAATTTGACTGAAAAAGTGGAAATACATTAAAGAAACCATGTCACCACCCTATGCATTACAAGATAAACATACCTAGTAAATGTACTTTCATAAAAATAAGTCAGGCTGCTGTTTTGCCCCATCTTTGCCCTGACTTTTCATTTTTTTTCTCTGCATTTTTATTTTTATTTCATTTTCTCTTTTGTGATTATCAATTTTAGCAAGAAATCGGAAAGAGAAAATCTGACACTTGAGCTGTCAACATGAGCTGTACTTGAGCAGATGGCATAACCAATCAAATATTTCAGTCAATTTTAGACATTCCTCATTTTACTCCATTCCAGAGTTGAAATTCTTTGAGAAATTGTTTGCGATGTTGTGATTCTTGCCATTTCCAGAAATTTCTTCACATTTCATTTAATAAAAGCTGGGGAAGAAGGGAAGGTGTTTATTTCACAGTTAAATAATTTTATTATTACTTTATGGGATTTCACAGCAGCATCCGTATCATTAATGGCTGCGGAACACTCCGTAATAAATTTGAATTGCGCGAGAGAAGTCATTCTCAGAATCCAATCTTCTGTCCCATTTACATAATCTTGGCAGTTTATCTGTGAAAGCCATAAGCCATGTAAAATGGATGAGACAGATACGAAATCATGGAGGATCAAGAGAGGACTCAATTGGTTTGAATTGTATTCCTATCATTAGCGATAGTGGCGGCTCCACTCTCTGCTTTTTTTTTTAATCCTTGGCATCTTCACCAAATGATACTGCTCTCCTAAATGTAATGATGGCTTTCCTACAGAGTAACTACTTGTTAATACACAATAGAGCTGGAACACGTCAAGTTTTTGCACTTCATGTTTAATTTGTTTTAGTCGAGCTCCGGTGCAAATGGCTTGAATAGCTTAATCATAAGTGACAATAGTGAAACAATGCAATGTCCACAGCACATCTGCTGTGGAAGTAATTAATGAAAATTGTAACTTTTCTAAAATAGCCCTATTGTTTTCCCAGGGTACACACGCTCAGCCGCTGCAAATCACAGTGTAGTCAAGCAAAGATTTAGACAGTAGGAAAGATGAAAAGTTGCAAAGGATTTCAAGAAACTGTATATTAAACCACACTAGGGTGACACTGGTTTGTTTCACAGTTGTACTTAATCACAGTGAAAGATGTATAGCAAATTCTACACTTCACTTTATCGGTTTTGGCAGTCTGGCTGTGAGTTTTTAGACTTCAGGATGATTTATAAAAAAACAAACTGAAAAACAATATAATAAAAACAATTTAATTGAGTTATAACCCCCCCCCCCAAAAAAAAATTAAAGACACTTTACATAGAACATACGTAGCTCCGGTCGATCCTTTGGCTGGGCCTGTCAGTTCAGTAGAACCGAAGGCCTGCTGTACGGGCTATTTACTATAGCCCATATAGCTCCCGAAGCGGGCCGAGCGGCTCAGTTATTCACTATTGAGCCGAAGGATACAGCCGTAGCTTCGGCTGATCCTTCGGCTCTCTTCGGCTTGAACTGAAGGGCTGCTGTATGGGCTATTCACAATAGAAGGCGGCTGAGTGGTTCAGCCGAGTCGCAGGCATATAAAGCGTGGAGAAAGGGCGGCGCCAGCCGACCGATCTCCATGCAAATGACAGCTGGGCAGAAGGCTTCGCCAAGTTGTAATGACGGATCTCCAAATGAACTGCGGATGCTAAACAATAACACCTGAGCGGAACCGGCCGTGGCGTCATGGCCGGCTCTGCCCCGTTGTAATTCATTGGCCGGAACCTGCTAGAAGACTCTAGCAGGTGACGGCCAATAGGAAACAGTTGGGCAGAGCTAGCAGTCACTGAGCAATAGAGTAAAAACCGGCACTCGCAAGGGAGTCCGTCCATCCAGTACTTTATTTTTAAAAAGGCATAATAGCAGCAAACAAACAAATGCTTACATGTTTCAGCCCCCAAACTAGCTTCGCCCAATTGTTTTTCTTTCTTTTTAAAAATATCTTTATTTATTTTTGAATTTTACTATTTATTTACATTTTTAAAATATTTTTTAAACCTTCTTTTTCCCACTGATTTTCTATTCTGCTTGGTACCAAGGAGGTACCGAGCAGAATAGCCGAGCAGAGTGCCACTCGGCGGCATTCGGCTATTCACTCATTGCCATTCGGAACCTATGTGAATAAGGGCGAATGGCAGCGAGTGAGCTGCCGAAGCTGCGGCTCAGCTGATCCAAATGTTGGATCGGCTGAGTCGAAGTCCCTCTGCACTTTGGCTCAGTGCCGATATACAAAGGCAGCCGATATACAACTGATTTCAGCCGATGTACGGCTGAAATCAGCCGGAGTGAATAGCTGAATGTCGTTAAGTTCACTTCGGCTTGGTTATTCACTCGGCTGCCTTCGGCAGCTTAGTGA